TAATTAATTTCACTTATATCAAGTAATAATTTAAGAAAATAACTTTCAAAAAAATAATATTTATTAATAATAATTTTAAACTCTTAATCTATATTTATTATATAATTATATATACTAAAATTAATATTTATTATCTTTTGTGATAAATGTATTTTCAATAAGTATATATAAATTTATTTTGTTAAGTTATTTAATAGAAAACTTTCAATAANTTATTGAAATTTTTAAATTTAATTTATTGTACTTATTGTGTTTTTGTTATAAGTTATTGATTAATATTTAGTAGAGATTAAACTATTATTTGAGATTATACTATTTATTGACTATGTTAATATATTTTTAGTCCTTTTTGTATTTTTGTAATTTCTGTAACTATTGTAGTTTTCATTATCAATATATTTTCAATAATTATGGGAGATTAGACTATTGTTATTTATTAGAGATAAGACTATTAATTTAGATGAAATTATGAGTGTTAATGAGTTGGTTCGGTGCGATCGTAGGGTATTTGGCCAACCAAATTGACYTGGTCAAGTTAGGGAGTTGGTTAGCTGAAACCGACTAACCTTTTATGAAAACCGATCCACTAAAGTTGTATTGGTTTGGGTTGATTTTTTTGTTTGGTCAGTCTATACAAAATATTTAAACTTAAATTTTTAATTTAATTTTTAAAAATATAGTGTGATTATTAAATAATAAATTTAAAAATTAGATTTCTGATAAAAAACATTTTAGACTAAAAAATATGGGAAAATTCCCACTTTTTCATATTAAAAATTATATTTAAAATATAAAATATTAATATATATCCATGGTTAGATCGTTTGATTTTGGTGGGTTTACAAATGGCCAAAGTGGAACTGATCCAATTTGGTCAAATTGGGAAATTTTTTAACCAAAGCCAACCTAAAATACTAGAAAACCGACTAACTTGGGTCGAGTTAATTGGGTTGGTTGGTTTCATCGGTTTGATAAATAAACCTAACTGAAATTAATTATTGTTATTTTTGTTTTATAAAAATTTTATTAAAAGTAGTATATAAAATATGAATAATTATTAATTATTTAAAAAGTTAAAAATATAAAACAATTCTATACTCTTATGTGTTTCTATTAGGGTCATTTATTAAAACACACTTTTAGGGATGGCAATTTTCCCCATCCCCAACGGGGACCTGACTTCCCTAACCCAATGGGGTTGTATATATATATATATATATACTATTATATTATTTATATTATATATATATATATTTATATTAAATATACTATTATATTATTTATATTATATATATATATATATCAAAATATATTTAAAACATTATTTATAATTTAAATTTTTTATTTATTTTAAATAAATTTATTTTAAAAAATACTATTATTTGAAAACATTTTGGGGATTCAGGTTCCCACGGGGAACCCATCCCCGTCAAGGATTGAGGATGGGGATTAATTTCAGAATCGAGGTCGGGGCCTTAGGTCCACGATTTTATTAAGGAGTGTTTGTTTTGCCCTTAGGCCCATGATTTTTTATTCCAAAAATACCCCTAACACTTTTTTTGTATAAAAAACAAAATTGAACAAATGTAGCCAATAGAGTGGTTGTCTATGTCTTATTAAGGGCAAAGTGGCATTTTTATTTTTGTTTTCTTTTGATTAAATTTATTTAAATGAACATTAGGGTCAACACTTTCATTTTCCATTGTCGTCTAATGGAAGATTGATTAAATCCATTGTAAATTATAAGTGGTGTTTTAGTAAAATGCTAATTATAGGGTAGATTTTAGTAAATCCATGAAACTATAAGGGGCATTTTAGTGTATGACCCTTTTTATTATTTAGCTTTCTCTTAATAAATTCCGTGCATCGCACGGGTCCCCGCTAGTGAAATAAGAAAAAGAAACTTTAGCCGTATTTTTTATTTGTTTTAAAATTTTAATATACTAAAAATAAGGAAAACGTTTGAAATGTCTATTACTTTAACAAGCACATGTGAAATTTTAACATAAAAGAGTACTTACATGGCACTCTTTTATTGGATGTACTGAAAGGTCTTCAGGAACCATTATGCAGGAAATCCAAACTCAACTAAATGCCTCTCTATGATGACGTTCTTACATGGGCAGCAAATAACATATTCAAAACTTTCAATGGATGAGTGTCATTGGTGATGATTTTACTTGGCAAGATGATTTTAGAAATACATGAAGGGTATTTTTGACAAAATGTAATATTTAACCAACGAAATACTAATGGATGAATTGAAGTGTCTATTTCTGAGAGTTTAGGGTACTCAAGTGTTGCAATTGAAAGTTCAGGGTACCTATTTGTCACTACCCCAAAGTACATGTACCTATCTATAATTTGTCATTATTTTTAAATTAAATCATTAAAAATATAAAAACCACAAGAGAAACCCCCTTAAGTTTTAAATTTCTCTAATAAAATCCACCACTACTCTCTCTCTCTCCCCAAATAGTCTTTGTTTATAACATCTTCCCATCCTCATTAAAGTCTTAAATCCCTCTTAACCCCTTTTTAACTCTCCCTAATAAAGTGTGTGTGTGTGGATGGGGGGGAGGGTTTAAATTAGATTGGTTGGATTAGGTTAAGGGCCAACCCAAGGCCAACATTATCTGATGATAAAAATAATAAATAAATAAAGAGATTATTTATTGAATGAGTTTTACCTTTAAGCTTAAAAAATAATAAAACTATTGAGACCTCATTCATTTTGACTTACCTAAGTACGTGACTTTATTCGGACAAATGTTTCCCAAGTAAAACTTGCTAACCCTTTAGGAGTGTACCAGGTAATTGATACTCCCTCGAATCAATGCTTATCATGGGACACAGTATAGAAACGAATGAATGTAAGGATTGTGGTCACCTAGCTAATAAACTTATCTCCCGCTAAATACCAATAGGGCCTAACGCTCAATTTAGGAAGAGTGAAAATACAAATATATACCATATAAATACAAATATATACAAGGTTTTTATTGCACTCTTTCTAGCCCGAGCCTAAACAATAAAAAGTGTAAAGGCACTGAAATACTCAACTACTCAATCCATCATACACGAGGACAATGGACTACCAATATATACCATGGATATGGTAATATGAGAGGTGGTATCAACAATCAAAATCCATAGAAATAAACCATTGTGATACTCTAATCACCAAATGCCCTCGACCCAATGAAATTATAAGCAATCCATAAAAAATTATGGTTTCCATCTAATATATTTTTATTGATTTTCTAATTTATTTATCAAAACCTCTACCTATGAACTATGATACAATTCCCTTTTTATTTGATAAATTCTCCTTTACATTGTACAACCAATAAAAGTTTGAGATAAGGGTATCAAAAACACCCCCTAAAAACAATACCCAAAAGTTCTTCTAATGGAATATTCATCAAACCAAGAATCACAATTCACGAGATCATACTACAACCTCCAATACACATCATATTAATTTAGTACCCGCTTGTACCATATCACAGGGACTAACATGTAATTTTTCTAAAGTACTTTATTTTTATTTTATAAGAATGGCTAGTCATATTTAATTACAAGAACCCTATGGTATCTAGAGACCATATATTTTATTTTTATTTAAACAAAGCCTGATACTTCCCAGAAAAAGATTTACAGTTTTCATAAAAGAAAATTCAATTCTTTATTTTATTCCGTATCTGTTGGAATTTTTCGTTATTTGTGACCTTGGTTAGCCTGATAAATAATTGCAGTTGCAAACTAAAAAAACCCTTTTCAGAAAAATAAAATCTATAAATTATCTGTAAATCCACTAAAATATGTCATCTTCTCTTTGTCCTAAAGATGAGCAACAATCATGTCTGTAGAAATTCTCTGAAAAATACCAAAATATAATTTTCTTCTGATGTTCCAGCGGGGCCATCCCGACGGCACTCCCGCTGGATCATCATGATAGCCACGTTGCAGCACAAGAGGAAATGTCATTGTTATGGTGGGAGTGCCCTCACGGTAGGACGACTCTTTTTTGAATTCTACTTTTCGATCGTTCTCTGATCTCTCTTGGATGGTGGCTACGTGGTGCCTGCAGGTACAGTGGGTCCCACGGAAGGACACCATGCACTGACCACTGGTAGTACGAGAAAGCAGACCCACCGTTCGATGACCCAGCCATGCACAGGGAATCTTTGGTCTCGGACTGTCGGATTGCACGGGGATGCGCGTCGCAGGCGGATACGTGTCGCTCCAGATCTGCAACAGGAAATCATGAAAAGCTGAGTCACCGAAAACGACAGAAAGGACTGTACTTGAAAGAGAAAAAAATAAAGAGAAAGCGAGAAGGGAATGATAACTCGAGTCAGCTTTCACTTGGGTTAATCTAACTCGTGTTTCCACGTGGCATACGGAAGGGACCCACCAAATCATAAACTAACGGTTTATCGACGGCGTCAACTGACGTTTCGTGGCGCGCAGTGAGGCGAACGAACGGAGACGCGTTTGGCCGTTTAATTGCTGTTAAAACCGTCAGTAGGTGTTTCGTAACTCCGGACAACCGTTGAGCGAACTCGGCGATGTGGAAGAAATCAGAGTCCCTAACGGGAAGGACTAATAACGTATTGTCTATTGTGAAATGACAAGAATGCTTGTAGATATTTGGCCACTTGTGACAAATGATGAGGGTATCTAAGTCATTTTATACATACGCTTTTTCGGAAGCGCGAGTATTTGAGCATATAGGGCCGATCAAAATCAAGCAAGAAGCGAGTCGGCGACGTTAAGACAAACAGGTGAACCGTGGTTAATTGAACCCCAGCAGTCAGCTTTGTCTTTTTTTCTGATGACTCTCCAGAAAAGGGAAAAAGAAAGAAAATAAGAACTTTTCTTTAGCAGAGTTTAGCTCTAGAGTGGAGAATAATACGAGTACGTATTTAGGAGTATACGTATATCTTGTCAATCATGGCAGTGAGAGAGAGGAGAGAAGTATATCAGAAGCCTCACTGTTTCGCTGATTTTGATGCATGCAAGGCAGGAAGGGAAGGAAAAAACTTGAAAAGGCAGAAAAAAGGGTAGAGAACAGGGGTGGAGAGGAGTACTGCGCAAGATTCATACCTTTGTCAACATATATTTTTAGTGCATCTGTGTGACTCCTCAGCCCCATCTGTAAAGTTCTCAGAGAAGAAAACCAGGTGGGTTTTCCATTTCTTTCCCGATCCTCTGTTGTATTCCTTATTCGGGTGATTCTTTAGACTCCCGTTTGATGCATTTTGGAGTTTGGAGTATGAAAAATCAGGTTAAACCTTTGAGTCGCTTCGCTGTTGATTTTTCTTTCACCTCCCCTGTGCCTGGTCTGTATCAGTGTATGGTCCATGAACTTGTTTGATGCATTCACGGAGCTTCCCAGTCTGGGTATTTTCTATTTTGATGATTTGCTAGGCCCTTATTGATACATTCTTCTTGGAGTTCCTTTTTTTTTTTATATTTTCTTCATGGGGTTTTAGTTGTTGGGTCCAACAGATGGCCAGATGAGTTTAAGATTTTTTTCACCTGCATGCATGATTCTCTGGTTCTTACTTCTCACAGAATTTCTGATGTCTTCACGGAATATTTCTTCTGGGTCTTACAATTACTTTGCGGAAATTAGATGGGATGGTCCTCATGCATTTCTTCAGTGATCTTGAGCTTATATCTTAGTGTCTGTATCGGAGGAAGCATTTCCCTATAGTGTTTGTTTTATATTTGATCCATATTTTCCCATGTGGTTTCAGAGGCTTTGTGAGATTTTGAAATTTCTTCAATGATCTTACTGTCTGTATAGCTGATTTTTACTATTCAGGTGTTTTGAAAATTTTGAATTTTGTAATTATTTTACATAATATTCCTCTAACAAGTCCTACATGCAAGCTTCTTTGAATTCTTTGCCCATGTAAACTCCATAATATCTCTTTCTGCTTTTTTTATCTTTTCTGGATGCATGAGATATCATAGAGTCTTCGTTTATGAATTATAATTTTGGTTTCATAAATCTATTACCATGGTTCTCATTTCTGCCCCACCTGTGGCTCATTATTGTCATATTATGGTAATCCATGTTGAGAAAAATTAGAAATCTTTGTTGATTTTTGTTGATACATAAATTGTATCAATGTGCCTTTTCCATTTGTTGATCTTAATGCTGAGAAAGAATTTATGCTTTCTTCAGGGAGCGGAGGTAATAATGCTGAGGAAGAGGAGCAGATCACTTCAGAAAGATCAATATAAGGGCCATCTAATGCCTGATTGTGCTTCAGAATCGGGTTTTCAATCTGATGTTTCAGAGCAGAAACATAAAGGCAGTTCTTTTTTCAGAGTTCCTGATCTGTTTGTAGGGTTCTGTTCCAAGGGTTTATCAGATTCTGAGTCAGCTAGGAGCCCTACATCTCCTCTGGATTATAGGGTTTTCTCAAATATAGGCAACCCCTTCAGGTCCCCAAGATCATGCCTTGATGGCCGTCAAAAGAGCTGGGGTTGCAGTAAAGTGGGCCTTAGCATTGTGGATTCACTCAATGATGAATCCAAACCATCCGGGAAAGTTTTCCAATCATCAGAGAGTAGGAATATTCTATTTGGGTCTCAACTGAAGGTGAGCATCCCTTCTCCCCAGAGCCATCTGAATGGCTCACCTGATTCCTTTGCGTCACCTAGATCCCTGCCCAAAAGCTTACTAACATTGCCACATCCYGAGGCCAAATCACCCCATTTTCAAATGTATAACTCTGAAATTGTTTTTGGAGATGGAGAAATGCAATTTGGGGTTGAGACTGTTGGAAAAAACCGATCTTGTCTATCAGATTCTGGCAGGTCGTCACCATCCTACGACTTCAGCATGTCCCCATCACCGCAAACCAGCTTAACAAATGCCGAAGATTTTTGTTCAGATCAGAAATCCACACAATTGGGTTCACCTTCAGTTATTAGTGGAGAGAAAAATTTAGACAATTGTTTGAGTAAGAAACCAAGTTTAGGCAATTCTTTCGGTATGAAACCAAGTTCACTTCCAATATCTATTGGCTCTGGCCATGAATTTATGGCATCTCTTTCTGCAAGTGAGATAGAGCTTTCTGAGGATTATACTTGTGTAATTTCTCATGGCCCAAACCCCCGGACAACTCACATTTTTGGTGACTGCATTTTGGAATGTCATACCAAGGAGTCAACCAGTTGTAAGAAGGAAAAGCTGGAGATTGAATCGCCTTGCGTGGATAAGTGCTTGGATGGTCCTGTAATGTACCCTTCCAATGATTTTTTGAGCTTCTGTTACTCTTGCAAGAAGAAATTGGATGAGAAGAAGGACATTTACATGTACAGGTTAGTCTTACCCAAACTTCTTTTACCTCTGTTATGCTCCCTGTCTGGATATAGCATGAGTAATTGTTGCATTTTGAAATTAACTTACTTTCTTTTATCAATTCCAGAGGTGAGAAAGCATTTTGCAGCTTCATCTGCCGCTCTCAGGAGATTTTAATTGAGGAGGAAATGGAGAAAAACATCAATAATTCCTCTGAATGCTCTCCCGAGTCCACTAGTCCTGAGGAAATCTTCCTATCAGGCATGGTGGTAGCTATACAATAAAGGTGCTAGTACTGTTACTTGTCCCATGCCACCTTTCCATGATTGATGAAATTGCCAGAGGTAAACACCCCAGATCATCTGTTGACAAAGAGCTGTCTATGTGAATCTGTTTAGCAGCCATGGATGATCGATATGTACATTCACCGTTTGCTGATTGTGTTTCAGTGTTCATGGCATTGGTTGGTTATGGGTGGCAGTCTGCTAGTTTTTGTTTTCTTTTCTTTTCCATAATTGGGCCATTACCAGAATTTGAAGCCTAGGTTTTAAGGTGACATAATTTTGTTTTGGAAGGGTAGAAGCTGATGTTCTGGCTCCCCGCTTTTTGTTTTCCATCACCCTTTGGTAGAGTCATTTTAACTGGATAGGCTCATGATTGAATATAAGCTACCTTTACATACAAATGTTGCACTTGTTTCTATTTCAATTCTGTTTGTTTTTCCCTGAAGCTGGACACTATTAATGTGTTGCATTTCATTGTGGAGGTAAAATTGGCAGTTGAAGCAATGGCTGATCTTATTCATTGTCCCCACAAGGGACCCTAGAGCACAGAAAAACATTGTTTCACCAATTCTCTCTGTAAGAACTAAGAACAAGACCCATCTAGGCAGGTGGTGGAATTTGGATTATGTCTCTCATATAGGYCTGAGATATGAGTTGATTCATAACCTGAGAAACAACCATCAAGACATAACCTTTGCCTTGCACTATACTGTACAAAATGCATACCTGTTTCTCTTCATCCATGTGAATAAATACAATTGCTAAGCCGCCTGATGTGGCAGCTGATGGGTTGAATCTTCCTTTAATCTTATTGAGCATGAAACAGGTATGGTAACAGGAGCTTGTGAGTTCTCCAGCTGTATACATACAGTAACCTCATGTTCTTTTATCACACTGCACTCTGGTTGCTTGAAGGGTTCCACTTTTTTCAGCTTTTTTAACACCCCAATTACATACTCCCTCCTGTTTGTTTCCACATAAATTTTTGCACGAATCACTTCAGAAGCATTAAATTGTTTTAATTCTAGAGGATTTGCAAGTGCATTCTCTTCTTAGTCAATATTGTGGTAGGTTCAGTACGTTCCCAATCCAATCAAGGCAGTCTGCATAGAGATATGGAATTTATAAACTGCCCTAATCGACCAAAGGAGATCAAATATGCACATTTAATGTTGTAGGACTGATTTTGTATAGCTATATAGGGTATTTCATTTGATGGAAAATGTTGCACCACCTTCTGTCGAGCCTCCTTGACGCACCCGATGAGACAGCTATTGGGAGTTATTTTATTAAGTTGTAATCCTATTTCTGCCGTGTCCAAGTACAAATCCATTGCTATCATTGACGTCCAGAAGAATCCATTCATCTCAGTGATACTTTCTGAACTTTGAAAGCCTTATTATAATACTTCTAGGCTTAACATGCCCAGCAGCAGTGCACATCATATCCACTTCAGTGCAGTTCTTTTTGATACAAACATGGGCCAATGTATCATCCACCATATCCGGACTCCTTGGAAACGATACCCAAAAACAGAGTCGACTAACAACAAGTCCACACCAAGCCAATAACCAGAACCAACTAACCAAAAGTCCAAAACCCAATTTCTATCATGGTTTATTTCATCAGATTTTGATATCAATGCCTCAGACAGACCATTCAAGCTATCTTGAATTATGCCTCTCTTTAAGATTGCAAGCTGCAACTCTTTGAAGAATTTCAAATTCCATTACCACACAAGCACGACATCTTCGATGGAAGCCATGAAAAAGGCAAGGTTTATAAATGAAAGTCCAGATGCCAGTAGCATTTTAAAAAGTCACTCCTACATGGTACAGATATTTACTTAACAAGTTTTTCTTTCCTCTAGTTTAATTTTCTCCCTCTTTCTCTCTACTCCCTCTTCATTTGTTAATGGCTCTGTTTTGAGTTGCAAATTTTGGTAGCAAAGATTTCAATTTTCAACGGAGTCGTTTTCAAAAGGAGGAAAGTGGAAGGGGGGGTACTAGAAAAAGTATGGAGGAGTGTACTTCAACAAGATAGGGACAGTCACCCAGACACCCGGTATTTAGCCCCGGGTGGGTGGGGGGGCGGAGTTGGTCAACTGGTAAATTGATCACCATTCCTGTGTTTATTTGCTGCTATATTAGGTAGTAATCAAAGATAGGGAAGAGTATATACCCTCCTGCAAGGTGGATAAGCAATTTACCTGCATAATTATAATTGTCTCTTCTTCTCATTTCTCTCTTTACTTGAATAACTTGTATTACACAAGAATGTTGGAATTTTATTTATCCAGACAAATTTTACTGGAAAAGCACTTGTCCGAATAAACATAAACAAACAGGGCCTAAAGATTTCCCATTTGTTTTTCAATTCCATGTCACGAATCTCACTTATCTCCTCCACTTTCTCCACTTCCTTTTGGTATATCTCCCTCGGCTTCATGTGTATTTCTCTTCCAGGAAGCTTGAAGGTGTAGTTTCAGCCATGGTAGGCTCCTGAGCAAAGACACGCACTGAAACAAAACAAGTGGTGGTAGTTTCCAGAAGTGAAATTTAAAAGATTCAAAGAAGAATTAGAATTGGTTTTCTGGGTTTCTGTGAGCTCACCAGATCTTCCAACTGCATGAATGAATTGGGAAGCCAGCATTCGTTCGATATCTATCTGATTCTCATCCAAGTTCCAGCTTCCAACGCGGCAGCAATCTAGCACTTTTTTGAAACGAGAGCACATTCTGTTCCGTCTTTGATCGTTTCTTCAAGTACCAAAGCTGCCCTTCCATATATTTTGAAACAAAAAAGACTAAAATTATGTATAAAGACAATAAGTAATTGATAAATAAAAGTTTAGGACTTGTTTGGCGTAAACCAACAATATTAATTCAAATTTAAGAGCGATTCGGGCAATCAGATCCGATCAACGGATCAATGGACTTCTCTGATCATCCCATCGGGTGTCCCCGTCAGAAGTTGATTGGACAATCCGGATAGGTGGACCATTGCATGATTGTGTCCGCTGTCCAGATAAGGTTGGTAATAAAACAACTGAAACCTGAGAGCAATTTATGTTTGGGTGGATCCCAGTCGAGGTTTTTAAAAACGAACCGATCAAGGGACCGGTTTCCGGTTAAGCGGTTCAACCGTCCGAGTTGAACGGTTCAACTCGTGATATCATAAATAAATTAAAATAAAAATATTTTATAAATAATAAAAAATAGCATTAAATTAAATTAAAACAGAAAAAATATAGAAAATAAAACTATATAAATACAAAAGTTATACAGTACAAACTACATAAAAATATAAAAATAAAATACAGAAAAATTCTAAAAATACAGAAAAAACACAAAAAAAATAAAAAATATATAGAAAAATAAAACTATCTAAATAATTAACAATTAAGGAAACCAACATGAATAAAATTTAAAACCAACAGATTATTAGATGACCATGACATTGTTGGAGGGCCTTAGTAAAATTTAAAACCAACTGAATTCAATTAGTTTTACTCTGGAAATCCTCATCATCATCTCTAACTCCAAAGACTGCATGAAAAAGAAGTAGAGGTAATCCAATGCCAAGTGACAAAAGAAGGTGAATAGCGCTCAATTAAATCGGCAATGGCAACCAACGGGGCAGTGACAGGAAGTTAGGAAGCAACAGAAAATCAGTCAAGCTTGTAATTTGTATCATCGGAAGAACCAAAATATATCTAGTTTTGAAATTGCCACCACTGTCAATTAGGTCCCAAACACCAAAGGTCTTTGCAAGAGGCTCAGAAAGATCATGGTCCAGACAGTGAGAGCGTAAGATAATCCCGTCGAATCCTGAAAAATGGGTTCTTGGGGAAGCGTGGTAGGGGAGGGTAGGGGCTGTCGCCGCCTGATAGAGGCAGAAGCCGGGGCCACCGGAGCTATCTGCGTCGAGTGTGTCGATTGAAAGAGGAGGGGAGACAACTCAAATGCCAGYGCAGAAAGAGTCGTGCCGTTCAAAGCTTCTAAGATCCATTGCTCGATTTTGCATGCTCTGCTCCCAAAATGCAGAGAGACTTGCGAGGGCAGATCMGGGTTGGTTGGTCCGGAAAGTCATGGGAGAGGCAGGCTAAATGAAATAATATACTGGAAACTACGCAAGTTTCTGATGGTTCGCATTGCAGCAGCTTCTGGGCTAATTGGGGCTGCAAATTTTCTGCGTTTTTGAGCTATGAATTCCTTGACATTCTCAAGCTTGGCTATCATTGCCCCCGCCATGGCACCAGCAACAAAGATGGTCACCGCCGATAATGGTGGTGTGACTGTGTCGGTGGACTTGGGCTTGGTTGCAGGTGATTGCCGTTGCAAGTGCTGCTGCAAGCCTGCAACTGTTATTGCTGCTAGAAACTGACACAGCGTGGAAGCAATGGAAAACCGGAGCTGGCTATGCAAGCACCGGGTGAACTTAGTTTCTAGCGAAACTATACGATTTCTCTAGGAGAGAGAAAATGTGGCGAAAATTGAGGAGGAAATCTGAAGAAATTTTGAAATCTGAAGTATGAATTTATTCATAATTCTGAGAAATAGAGTATTTATAGTACATTGAGAAATTATAAAAGAACTAGGAAAAGAAATTAGATTTGATCTAAACATCTCAAACTTGTAGATAGGATCGAACTCTTCTTGACTTGATCTCCCCCGTCCGATCTCCCTTGATCTTATCCATGCATGAATCTTGGATTATCTAGAATTCTTGAATTCTTGATGAGTCTTGGATTC